ACTTTGCCATCGCAATATGTCTTTTAATTTCCTGGCTGCTGGTGTCAAGAGTGTTGTACAACAGAAAAATACATACCTTTTTAAAATTGGGGGGGGGGGAGGACTGGTGGCACTGTGGCTTTAAAATAAATCCGTTTATGACCAAAACTGTCAGCAGTCTAAATCCACCAGCCACTGCACAGAAGAAAGGCGAGGCAAGACAAACTCTGTCCATTAAGATGAAAACACAAACCACTCACCATCTCACAGTCAATTTTGATTCAGGTCAGTCCTCCATCAGCTTTCTAAGGCTGTAAACATTAGCGGGCAGAGATGCTTTCGTTTTTCTCCACTCACTCATGCAGAGTATCTGCTGGGTTTGAACTGCTGACTTTTCTGTTAGCAACCCAGCACTTAACCGTGGACAGCCTCAATCGAGATCACAGCTTGAAGACCCTGTGCACCAAGAGTCTACTCTATCCTCTGGCGTTGCTCTGGGTTGGACTTGATGACAGTGGGTTTTCAAGGTCATATAAATTGTTGAATGACAAACTAAATCAAGAATGCTGTAAACTCACCCAAAGAACACAAAACAAAAGGTTGATTCTGCTTTATATCCAGGAGGTTTCTGCTCCTGGTTGTAAGGACTATCATGAACATTGACCTTGCCTGTTTTCTTGGACATGGAGAAGGTTGAGTTAATGGCACCTTTGTTTAGATCATTTACTAACAGCAGTTCTGAAAATCCATTCCTTTGCCCTCTTCCTCCTGCCTGTGGGTGTTCTTACAACACGCCTTGCTCTTTGGAGGGTGTGGATGCTGTACATCTCATGCTGGGCTTCATTCTCCACCCAGCTTGTTTCTAAGTTCCATCTAGTTTGTGGCTGGCTGACTGCTGCAATGGATTCTTTTCAAATGTTATGTGCTATCAAGTCATCTGCGAACCATAGCGACCCTACGTACAGCAGCTCTGAAGCCTGCCCTCACCTGAGCCAGTCTCACTGACTCTGACACACCAGCTTCCATTGCACCAGTCACTGTATTAATCCATCTCATCTGGGGTCTTCCTCTCCTGCACTGTCCCTCCACTCTTCCAAGCATTAATTACTTCTTCAAGGACCAGTCTTTCCTGGCCACATGCCCAAAATATATGAGATGGAGCTTCAAATTCCTAGCCTCCAAGGAGAAACCTGGTTCCACCCTCTCCAAGATGGACCAATTTGTTTTCTTGGTGATCCATGGTATGTTCAAGACTCTTCTCCAGATGGATGTAATAAGATGCTGCCCCACTGTAGGACTGCACCATTGTTTTAATGTGATTATTTTCCTGGGGATAGAAAATAAGCTTTCCGTGGTGTCTTCCTCGTTCCTTTTAGAGTCCAGCCTATTTGTGTATCCGAGGTATAAGTCAAGGTCAATTCGGTGTCAGGGCTCTGAGTCTCCGGTTCCTGAGCCTGTGTGTCTGGTCCGTGTAAATGCTGTGTGCATGTGTGTAACACCGACGTGGGATGTACTCAGGCAGGAGACGTCAACACAAATCCCAGTTGTGTGTGTTCCACTTCAAAACCCTGATTCCAAGTGCAGAAGGCTGAATCCTGGTATATTCTAATTCATATGATGCAGGTATAGTTTGATATTTGTGTTTTTAAAAAAAAGAGCGAGAGAGACACAGAGAAGGGCCTAAAGGCAAGGATGAGTGAAACATGTCTCTCACATTGGACATGTTGTTGTTGTTGCCATTAGATGCTGTCAACTCAAGTATAACTCACAGGTACTCTATGAAAACCAGATCTGACCCGTCCTATCCTGTGCCAATCTGTCTCCGACACACCTGAACCCATTCCTGTACTGTTAAGTCAGTTGGCCTTCCTCTTTCACCACCCCTCCACCCTCCCAAGCACGACGTCCTTCCCCAATGAATAACCTCTCCTAGAACATGCCCAAGTATATGAGCACAAGGGTTTATGATCTCTGCCTCCAAGCACTCCGGCTGCACCTTGTCCAAGACATAGGATTGTTCTTTTGAAATCTTTGGGATATTCTGTACTCTTTTCCAACACCACAGGTCAAAGGCATCAATTCTGACATCCTCTCAGCTGCAAAGCTTGTGACTGAAAAGATCACAGCCTGAATAAGACACACCTTAGTCCTCAAACTGACATTGTTGCTCAGTAATTTGGAAAGGCCTTTGACTGATTTCCCCAGTGCAATACGTCCCTTGATCTCTTGATCACTGGCACCAAGTATATGGATTGTTATTATAACATATTGTTAGGAGGAAAATTGTGCTTGGAAAGGTGGAGGATCAGTGAGAGAACACCTTCAACAAGATGCACGGTGACTGCAGCAATGGGCTGAAAGGAAATGATGAGGACAGCACAGGACAGGACAGGGTTCAGATTTGCTGTTCACAGGGTCACTGTGAGTCACACTGCACTCAAAGGCACCTAACAGCATAACAGCAGCGTGGCAGGAGCCCTGTTGCTGCGTCAGTTAAGCATTCTGCTCATTGAAAGAAGGCAAGTGGTTTCAAACCACTGCTGGAGAAAATGCGGGGGTGGCTTCCATAAAGCCTAATCCAGTAAGATGCTTCAAGGAAACAGCTGGTGGGTACAACCACGAACCTCTCAGCCGCCATATGCCAACCAGTGTAGCACCTGGGTGCCCCAAAAAGATGACTCGCTATCCCCCAAAAAGCCATGGCCATCCTCATCATCTCTGACATACTTGGCCCATTGCTGTAGGCCCGGGGCCAATCCATGCCATTGAGGGTCTTCCTCTCTTTTTCTTATCTTTCCAAGCATGAGATCCCTCTCCAAGCAACATGCCCACAGCATGTGAGATGAAGCTTCGCCATCCTTGCCTCCAAGCGACCTTCTGGCTGCACCTTCTCCAAGACCTACAGTTCTTGCGTTATTCAGTACTCTTCTCTAACGCCACAGCCAAACGGCATGGATCTTCAGCAAACCTCTCCAGTGTCGATGGAATTTGGAGGAATCACGGATACACAGCAGCGCAGCCTTCAGAGTCCAGAGACGCCATGGACGCTGCTGCCCTTCTCCCCATCACACACCCTCATTTTCCAGAGCAGGGACGTACTGTGGTCATCACGCCAGCAGTGGGCCTCAGGACTGACCAGCTCTTTGCCATACCAAGTCAGAGCCAACCCACGGCTGGCACTCCAGTATCTGTGGCTTTAAAGCAATAAAAAATGGGGCTTGCTGGTAAGAAAATTAGAAAAACAATTCTTGTAACAAACACAACAATCAACCTGCTTGTCCTGACACTGGTGACAGTCCAGAGCCCACAGCCCACAGCCCTCAGCTGACCGTGGGTGCCTTTGGCAGGGGTGAGACACTTCCCTGCTCCCTACTCCCACGTGCCTGCATGGGACACCTCAGGGTGGCACTGGTGCGCAGGGGACAGCGTCACATGGCTGTGACTCCCCGTGTGGTGGGGATGTGGTACAGCTGGTGACAGCAGCCAGTGCCAGTCACCCCCACACGGCTGCTTCCTGTGAGAACTGGGGAGAGCAGACACACAGGCAAGGCCAGTGCAGCCTCCCCAGCAAACTCCTGTCTGCTTCGAAGGGCGGCTGTAGCATTTTAGCATTTATGACAAGTGTATTCCCAGGGAAGAGACCGAATCCACTCCAGGAGTGACTCACAAGGTATGCGACATTATTCTCTGAAACCAGGAAGGGCTGGGAGCGCCGGCTGACCTGCCATCTGCCAGCTCTGAGACATGGAAGGGCTTCTGTATAAACTCCGTCCGACTCAGAAGTCTCTGGGCAGCAGCAAGAACTCTTCTCAGCCATAACTGCGCACTCATCCCGTACCCTTCAACCGACACTCCCACCACCTCCTTGGAAGCATGAAGGCTTCCCCCTAATAGAAACTTAAAAAAAAAAAAAAATACTTTGAAGCAAAGTTGAAAGATGAAACATGGGCCACACAGCTCTTCCCAGACACCCCTGTCAAATCCCATCATGCACACTGTCAGTGTTTTCACTTATTTTCATCATTTTCCCACACTTTATTAAAAGTTAAAATATGACAAAAAAGGAAAGTCACTTGAACTATCATGCAAATACACAACTTTCAAAACCAACCAGCTCCCTCTCTGAACGCCATGTCTGCAAAAGGACCACAATCACGTGGTCTCTCATTCTCTCCATGCTCCCATGGTCTTGTAAGTGCACCATTTATTCCTTTTTTTTTGGGGGGGGGGGTGTCATTTGATGCCAATCAAGAAAATTACTAGTCTTACAAGAAAAATGTGTTCATATTTTTCAAGTCTTAAACACATCTTAATTAGCATATGATTCTTGACAGGCCACAAACAGACAAGCAATATCTATGGAAAGACTGTGTCACCCAAATGGTATTTTTAGAATCACAAACAATTCCTTCACTGGCAGAATAATCTGCAAGTTAAATCTCAACTCACCTCATTAGAAAATCAATTACATTCTTGGGTATCTTAGTGAGAATGCTGGCCTCAGAATTTCATTTTCTAATGTAGAAAGGTTAAAGCAGAAAAAAAAATTGTGATTTTTAAAATAAGTTACACATACTTCCCTCCATGCAAAACATAAAAAAAAAATCCCAAACATTACACCGTCTAGACAAAAAGTATAGTAAGACAAATTGGGATAAAATAATTTTCCATAATTCCCATGCTCATGTATACAGACAATTCAATTACACACAGAAAAATGAAATAAGAGAGGAACTTTCTAACTCTCAGTTTTTGTTTGTTTTTAAAATCTGCCCTGTGAGGACTGCTTCCCTCTAAGTTTGGCTACTTCCCTCAAAAGCCAAGCAGAAGATGACACATGTTGATATGTGACTAGAGACTAGTACCAGCTAGCACTCTGCATGGCTGGGAGGGCTCTACAACTAAACCACGGCTCTCTGTTACTATTTTGCTACAACATGTAGATCAGACTTAATTTCGTCCTACTAAAAAATAAATACATGAAGAAGACACCGTCAGGCATATATTCACAAGGTCTCCATTTTTCAAAACATAAGTAGGATATATTTATTTCTCTCAAATGCATACAAGACAATAATTACAACAGCAACAAATCCTTTTGTTCAACAATGATTTGATTCACAGGCATTTGAAATTTACATAATTTCACATCAATATCTTTGTATTTTTAAATACTGTTAAGTAAAAAAGTCCCCAAAACCCAATTCTTATATTTCCTATTTATCCCTCTATACATCCAAACTTTAAAAAGTTACAAACTAAACATTATACAGAACATATAAATCATGTTTAAAAACGTGAGGTTTTAAAATGACAGCTTCCCCAATGATTCAGGACAATCCACACAGTGACTGCCAAGTGCAGTTACAGGTGGGAAGCGAACTGCAGAACAAGAAAGAGACAGACACAAGTTTGCTGTCTTAATATTTTACTAATCCTGTCAGGTAAAAATGGTGATGTCACGAGAAACAACAGTTTAGGTTGAATATGAGGAATGGAGTTCGCCTCACAGTTTGAGACATGCATTTCAAGTATTTTCCTATTTGATCTCTGCTCACTGCAGCAAACTGATGCAGAAAGAGAATCATTTCCTTCCATACATTCGTTCAATGTCCGCCTGGTAATGTGTTTTAAGCTCTTTGCGTTTTAGCTTGAAGGCATCTGTCACTAGACCAGTTTCAGGGGTCCATGGTTCAGGGCTCAAACGAATCTTTACTGGAATTTCAAACTTTTCCAGACTTGCTGAGGTGGAGGGGAAAAGAAAATAAAAAGCATTAAAAAAATGTATAATCAAGGCCCTTCGCAAATAGTTTAACTGTCTCGGTCTTTGAATATCCACCCAGATGAAGATGGCCCAAGAATCTCACTGGCAAGCATTCTGTCCCTCTAAGACAAAGAAACCAGAAATGGGGAAGACCCCAGTGAGATGGACTGACACGAGGGTCACAGATAGAAAGGATGGCCCAGGCTAGAGCGGGGCTCAGTTCTGTTGTTCATAGGTCGCTGTGAAGGATTATAACGTAAAAGATTAATATAAAAACCATGTCCACTGATGGAGAAAGTCTTACAGACACAGGGTGGAATGTGAACCAGTCGTTAGTAACCCTACATACGTGGGTATGGAAAGGTAAGTCTGCAGTGAATGCACCATTAGGTTTTTAAAGAGCAAAACGGGGGTAAACGGGGAGAGGTGGAACGCAGGCTGTGGAATACACTTACACGCGTGGACATGCGAAGGAAGAGAAAGAAACCAAATCACACAATATGCTCCTGGAGTTTGGAACGGAGGACGGCAAATGGCACTGTAGGGTCTGCCTACTTTTCCCCCTTTGGATTTATTATAAAGAACACAGTTCTTTTGGAAAGAAAACAGTATTAAATTATCTTTAAGGAAAATTTTGTCAGTGAACTTGAATTTCCATGGTAAGCCACCGTGACGGCAGAAGGTACACTATCTTTTCCTAGCACATAATCCAATACCATATACTTTGTAACAGATCAATGAAAGGAGGACAGGGAGGAACAGAGAGGGAAGAAAAAATGAAAGCTGAAGCAGTTCTGAAAATGCACCTTTCCTCTTCAGCCTTTATTTATTATTTATTATTCAAGCATTTATTCATCAAATTCAAGCAGAACAAAATTAAGCAAAGTGCTAAACCTTCCTTCTAAACTAAAAAACCCAAATGGCTTCAAGTTATATCTGAATAAAGGAAACACATTAGCCTTTATTTTAGCATATGTTAGAAAATATGCTAAAATAAAGACATAAAAAATCTTGGTGGCTAAAAAAAAAAAAAAATCCCAAAACAACCAAACACCCTATTTGCTCAGTTCTAAATCGTAAAAGAGATAAACACAGTCTGAGTCTCTGGGTTGTGAAGTACTTCAGACATGGTTCCCAGAAGGAAATATCCTAGGGCAAGCGCAGCAGTGAGGCAGGTCCAGACGGAGTGAGCAGAGGGCCAGAGAGAAGCACCGGCCATTGGGAAGCAGGCAGCCAGCAGGCTGTGGACTTGGGCTACAGTCTGCTCAGCGCACCTTTGGTGATCTTGCTCAAGATTAGCTTTAGTAAGCGTAGTGACACCGTCTAAACCAGTTTTAGGAAAACACCAGCTATGCCCACAGGCTCAGCTGCAGACAGACATGAAGACACTGACTGCTGGGAGGATGTCTATGCTAAGAGAAAACTCCTGTTGCCTCCTTATTCCCCTGTCATCGCAAATAAAATGTATTCATGACTGCTGACTATCTCACAATATTTAGGTTACAGGTTATCAGAAAAGAAAATGTAAAACCTCTCAGTCTTGGTGTCCTTTGGGGGAGGCAGTCCAGCTCCAGGACTGTCTTTCTTTGGCGATTAGTGTGGTTTATGGACACAAGGACAGACGCCAAGGTGACAAGGGGTGAGATCCGGAAGTCAATATTACGGGTGACCCGGGCTAGGTTAAAGCAGCTAGTTATTCAATATTAATCTAGGTGTTGCTGTAAGGGTAGTCTGCAGATGTCTTGAGATTCCATAATCAGTTTACAGTAAGTAATAAAGATTATCCTGGGTAATCTGGATGAGTTGGCCTCAATCAGCTGCAAGGCCGCAGGGCTGAGCTGAGGCTTTCCTGAGGAAGCCACGCGGGAGCACTGTGCCCCTGCCCAGCTGTGCCTCTGACCAACTGTGCCCGCAGCACTGGCCTGCCTCTGCCCAGTGGACTTCACATGTGTTTAGCCCTCAGAACTGTATGAGATAATTCCTTACATTCTTTCTCATATGGGCTCAGATGGCCAGGAAACTGAGCAGGGCCTGGAAAACCAGCTGAGGTGTTAACTTGAGAAATGGCCAGTCCAAAACCCAGAAAAACAAGGAAAGGCACGTTCAGAAAGCCTGGGTGCTAGGAAGTCAGCCTTAAGTCTAGCTAACACAATAATCTATGTGAACCGCAGAGGAATCTGCATGAGAGCGACAGAAGCAAACTCTATTTATCAGTAGCAGAAACACACTTGTCCTGAGCAGAAAACGTAGCTAAGCCTTGTGATTGAAGAGACTGAAAACATTACTCTTCTCCCAACTCCGTTTCCAAGGCACTCACCTGATATGGCAGCTTCCGAAAGCACTTTAAGTACTTCGTTTTCCATTTCACAGCTGTTACACAGCTCTTCCCAAGTTCCTTTCAGTCCTTTCTTTCGAGCTAGGTCCGTTAGTTCCTTTTGATTTGGCACCACGAATCCAATGACATAAGAATGATAGCTGAAAGAGACAAGAGAACTCCGCTAAGGACCCCGGGCAGAGTCCTCCGTGTCGTTGTCATGTGCCAACGTGGGAATGGCCTCACAGCTGACCCTCCAGTGGGTTTTCAGAGGCAGCAAATGACACAGGAGGAGAAGGCCCATCCCCCTCTGAGTGGCCTGCGATTCCAACTCCATAGCTTTGGGATTGCAACACAGCTTCTCCCCACTAGGGCCAGCCGAGCTCCCAGACTGCTGAGCTGTAAGTGACTGATTACACTGATGTTCAGCAATTAACTGTTTAACAACATGCATGTGGCGAGTCTGCAATAGCAAACACCTGGTCCACCAAGAGCTACACTCACGGACGTGTTCACTGGAACGCTCTCATCATGTTCCAACACTATGAGCTTGTTAGGTGCCATCAATCCGGCTCCCACCCTCCCCACATCAGAACCAACCCCCGCCCGACCGTGAGGTAGCCGACAATCTCCGCTGTGCGTTACTGTATCTGTACTTCCTAAAAGAAACCTCAAGCTTTCCTTCGCTCTGTGATGTTCATTTTAACAACTATTATTAATACTGCCATGTAACATTTCTAAAAGAAAATTATGCAAATACTAGAAAATCCTTTTTAGAAGGAAAAAAAAAATCCCCAAAACTAGAAGTATAACATGACAGATTAAACAAAAGCAGTGTCTACGTAAACTATAACCGCTGGGGCAGCCGTTGGAGAAAGGTGGGGAGGATTAGAGATAGAGACCCCATAACAACGAACTTGAGCATGAAGATGGGGTCTGACATGCAGATGGTCTGACACACAGATGGGTTAGGACAGGCGGATGGGTTAAGGACACATGGAGGGGTTCGGACACGTGGATGGGTCCAGACATGTGGGTGGGTCCGGACACGCAGGTGGGTTAGGACACGCAGGTGGGTTCATGAAGCAGGCTTAGCATGAAGAGGGTGCAAGCCAGGGCAAGGCTGAGATCTGTTCGTAGAGACTTTAAGAACAACAGGTCTGAAGGTACTGAGAGCTGAATCAACAGGTAGTTGACTCAACAGCTCTTAACAATGTATAAACCAGAGGGCCTGGTGGCGCAGGTCATAGGGCGCTGGACTGCTAACCCCAGGACCATGCCTCCGGCAGTTCGAATCCACCAACATCTCTACAGGGGAAAGACGGGCAGTCTCCTCCTGTGGAGTGTCAAGAGTGTCAGCTGGATGATGGAAGGGAAGGATATAAAGTGAAAACTTTAGAGAAATTTGGCAACAAATCAAAATTACAAGATTATATTAATTTTTTTTCTGACGTCTCAAAAATCTATGCTGAGAATTTATTAAAAATTATGCAAAAAAATAAAATAATCTGTACTGAGAGAAGAACTAAGAACCGCACTTAACAGCCACTCTCTTGAAGGCCATAAAGAAGAATCCCAAAGGCAGGGAGTATGTGAGAAGCAGCACTTTGGGATTACTAACAGGTAAGTAAAACCTCCCACTGTAACAACAATAAGGGAAGCATGGCTAATGAAAGGGCAGGGGCAAGTACAAATCGACACAGTAGTTCATTGTTCTGTAGTAGCTGAGCTGCACCCCAAAAATGGGTTTCTAAGTTGGATCTTCTGACGGCAGATTTTAGTTTCCATGACAAGTATGTCGAATGCTCTTGTCAGGTTCATAGCCTCCAAGACCTGCACACGGATCCTGGAGGGTCACCACCATGTGCAATATTATTATGGAAAAAAGCACAACGGGAGCTCCAATCGCAAATTCCAACACATTCACTGAAAAAAAAAATGCCTTTCTGGGATACTGAGTGACACACTCCTCCCATGTTGCCTCCACACCAGCATGAACAAAGGATGCTACGTGTGGAATCAACCACCAGGCTAGAGCCCCATACCTCAACTTCCTTCTTAACGTCACTGCCTTCGGGGTCGAACTGTGACGCTTCCCTGTGTGGACAGAGGCAGCAGCAGCAGGAAGGGCGATTTTTTTAATCACCTCCCTACCACACAGGACACTGTAGTGAGGTGCACCGACAGAAATGGGCACAGAGGAAACTGCAGAGGGGACGCTGCAAAAGGCAAGGCCCAGCTGGATGCGGAGGAGGCTGTTCTCAGAGGAGCAAAGACAGAAGAGACCCCGAGATGACTTTGTACAGAGCTGGGCAATACCAAAACCGCATGAATGCTGTCGTCCAACTAGCATGAACCCACTGCCTTACCTGTTTGCATATGCACAAATGTTATCTATTAGTGGGAGATTCTTCAAAGCGGCTTCCACTTTCCCAAGAGAAACATACTCTCCTGCCTGAAGTTTTACAAGGTCCTTTTTACGATCTGTGCAAAACAGAAAAAAGCAGGGTGAGGGGAACACAGGAGAAGACACCCAGTTAATTATACTTTCAATATGTCTAACGGCCATTATCTAAATATCTGTTATCAATTTATGTCATCATTAAACTACTATATTTTACATAATATAATTTTAATAACTGTACATCATACCCTAATATTTTTTACTACTAAATACAGTCCTTCTAAGAAAAACAACTGCTTCTCCTTCCACAGACCATGCCTGGGGTTCAAGTACACTTGGCTTAATATACATCACACTTGACAGGTGACTGAAACACCCAGCGCTACCTGAACCTCTCTATGGAGACACTGAGCTGCAGGACGCCAGCCCAGTATCTCAACAGCATCCGGTGTTAAAACACATCAGCGTATGGATTCAGGACAATTTCCTGGGAGCGCCCCTGAGCTGTACCTTAAGGTGAGAGAGGGAGGCCCATGGCAGCCTGAGCTACGTGAATACGGAGGAGAGGGAAGGAAGACAGCTGGAAGGGACGGTGCAGAGGGCACAGGGCACAGATGGTGGTCTCTGAACTGGCACCGGAGAGCCTGTGACAGTCGCCTGCGGAGAGCAGGGTTTAATATTCACGTGTGACAAGAAGAAGGTGTGGGGGATGGTTAAGCATGGCAACAGGAAGAGAGTGGCTGCAAGTCCAGGTGACAGAGGTGATGGTGAGACCACCAATCACTGCTAGGAAACAGGGTGACTCTGAGGTGCGCCACACTCGATAAATCCAGAGAATATGGGTGAGACACAGGGAGCCGACAGGCAAGATACCCTTCTCATCTCCTCCCAGGTCCTGAACGAGTACGACTAGGACTGAAAGGGACAGAATATCCGGGGTGCCAGGCCTGCCTGGGTCCTCACAGGCAGCCCCCAGGCACAGAAGCCACTGCCTGGCCCCATGGCCAGGCCATTTCACAAAATAATCTTCCCTGCACGGACAGGAAAGACTCCAACTCCTTAAGAACGATCTATAATCTGCCTCTTGGAGAGAGAGATTACTGTGTCCTCTTATCTCCATGGACCCCTCCAAGCCTTCCACATCCATCCACCACCTGATGTACACTCCTTAGATGAACTCAGAGGGGACACCAAGTCGCCTCTTCCCAGTGCTGGAGCTGCCCCGAGGGACCTCAGACCGTCCTGGGTCTGTCCTGCGTCTGACCAACATCTCCTGCCTACTTCCTTTCCTCTGCCCTCTCCAGTAGCCAGCATTGGCCTCTTGGCAGCTTGTACCTGTCCCTTGTCAACTGACCATTCCATGTCAAGGAGTACTCTGCTCTGCTCATTTGGACAATTGCTACTCTCTTTTGTGGTTCTTGTTGCTGGAGGGCTATGACCTTGGCATTCCTGTTTCATTGGGAAAATCTCTCTACACCCTTTACTACCCATTCGGTTTCCTAGGACTTCAAGGACTGTTACCTGTACTTTCCTCCAGCACAGCAAGTGATGCCAGTGCTGGGATGACACTAGAGGAAACACCAGACATTTCATTCCTTCCCATCAGCCTTTCCTGTCCCCTTAGCCTTCTCTCTGGATAGTTTCCCACGTCAGCAGCCTTTTCCCATCCTTTGATACCGTGCTAAACTAGAAGAAGCAAGAGTGAGTGTGCTGAATATTTGAATTGAGTAGAAGATTTCTTACTTATTTCAACTCTAACGCTATGTAAACCCTGTAATAGTAGACCTTGGACATTCCACAAGTGCAGGACCTTCCAGCACCCCAGAAGTCATGGTGGGGCATATCCTCTAGCCAGCTTCCCAGTATCTGCTCTGGGGTTTTGAGGTGAAGGTGTTCTTATCCCCACTTTTTAAAGATTTTCTGTAGTTTAAAAAAAAATTCCTCATGTACTATTTATTCTCTTTTGTAGCTGCTCTTTTCAATAAAGGAACATTCTACCTGACAGCTATTTCTTATTAAATAAACTGTGCAAATGCACTTTTGTCATCTAAAAAAAAAAAAAGAACGATCTATAATCGACTTAGCAGCACCTTACAGCAGACAGTAATGAAATAAAAACATCAATGCTGTTGAGCTGTTCAGAGACACTGTAATATGATACAGCCTTATAAAGGCCACGTACACCCTGGGAAATGGATGGCCACAAAGTTCTCCTGAAAAGTAGCTCGTGGATCCAAACTGTTAACCTTCTGGTTATCAGCCAAGTGCCTAACGACTGAGCTGTCAGAGCTTCTTAGATACATAAAATCTATTTTGTACAACTATCTCAAAAGCATTTACAATCAAAACAGTCTACTGGCTTACCAATAATCTTTAAACAGCCATCAGGGTCAAACTCCCCAATATCTCCAGTGCACAGCCACCTCTGCCCGTTTTCATCTTCAAAGAAATCTGCTTTGGTTTTTGCTTCATTTTTGTAGTATCCCATCGTCACGTTTTGGCCACCGATGAGAATTTCACCTCTGGGGTGTGGTTTGTCGGTATTAAAGTAACCACCTAAGACAGAGAAAAGAAGTTTGTTAATTCAGTATCCTCCTCTCTCGTCACAAGATGTCACAACTTGAAACCATTCGTTTCTAAAGAGGGACATTTTCTTTCAATCCGCTGACACTTCCCAAAGGCAACACGCTGAATGAACAAAACTTCTAAGCATAAAACTAGGTACAAAATTTCAATCACTTAACAGTAAGTATATAAAAAAAGCATTATTCCAAGGAAAAAATTACAGTAAGAAGCCAATATCATTTATGAAAACCCACTGCTATCAGGTTGCTGCGGCCTCACAGACCCCTACGGGCCAGAGCAGCTGTGCCGTCAGGCTTCCACGCTGTGACCAGGGAGAAAGATCTTCCCGGTGCAGACCTGCTAGGTTTAAATCACCACCTTTCTGTCAGAAGCCAAGGGCTTTAACCTCTGGGTCACTAGGACACTTCCTTTACCTCTAGTACAAATTCTACCCATGTAATTTTTTTTAAAAATCTGTAGGAATTCTTACATTATTATGGCTATAAAATGATGAAAATACTAAACCATAAACATAACAGTCTCTTTATAAAATCAAATTTCCATACACTTCGATTTATTCCTTATAGTTTCAAAATGGCTCAAAGCTAAAATGGTTGAGTATTTTAATTAATTCTGCTGAAATTTAGCTAAAGAAATTATATGCAAGCCTTAGTAGCACCTCTTGTGTTTAGTTAGAAGTACATTCCCATAATCACAGATTATGAACATAACAATAATAGAATCAAATAATTTTTTTAATTGGCAAAGCAACAGGGTTTCTTATGGAATCTTGAATTTTTCTGAGAATTGACTTGAAATCTCGGAAGAAAACCATAAAAATCCTCAGTTTCATAGGCCAAATTTAACGTCTTTGCTACTAGAAGTATCACTTAGCATATTTTTTCTATAATTTTTACTTGCACTTAACAAATAAAAATAAAAAAAATACTTATTCTTTAAAACTATCTTTGCAAGAAGCTAAATAAATGTATTCATATAGTCTTGGATAGAACGCCTCTATTACAAGGGACAAGAAGGAGTACTCATAGATGATTTTCTATTCTAAGATAAGGAAATGAAGTAGAATTCTAATGTTAAAGTTTAATATTATGGAAATTAACCTCCTATGATAAAAAGTGGATTATTACCTTCTTCCCAGTTCTTTAACTTGATTTCACAGCAAACTAATGGCGCTCCCACTCTGCCGGTATTATAGTCCCACACTAAGGTGCAAACAGAAGAAAACAAAAGTCTTTGAAAACAGTCGTTTAAAAATTGCTTTGTTTTCCTAAATGACTCAGAATGATGACTTATTTCAAAGCTCAAATATCCTCATAGAACCTGTAAAAGCAGAACCACAAACTGGGGAGCAGGCTGTCTGACCTGGACATGCCGCTTGGCCCAGGTGAGGTGTCCACAGGTTAGTTTTAAACTTGAATTAGTTATCATCATTTGAATGGATTTTATGCAAAAGTCCGCCATCTCCAGTGACAATGGGCCCGCAAATCTACCACATTCAACACCTGGAGGCCTTAAGATCCTCTTTTGTGGGCAAAACTGAAAAGCAAACTACCTTTCTCCCACAAGGGGGTAGGTGATGTGATGTGGCTGGATTCCCAAGTGAGTTCCACAATGCCTCACACAGTTCAGGGCCTGTCCTGAACCCTGTGACCACGATGAAGTCTAGTAATTAGATTCGTGAGATGTGAATTTGTTTCTCTCTATGCTTATACAAGTCCTTCCCTAATATATTTCTGAATCTTAACTTTAATACACAAGCCCTAAATAACCAATAATCTTTTCTTACAAAAAAGAAATTTACTGATATGAGGAAAAAAGGACACAATATAGCCAACACATTACCAAAACATCTTCTCTTCCAGATAGCTGGTAATTTTTAATACTATTTATTACAGTTTGGCATGAAGTATTCCTCTAGCTAAATTACAGATATATTCCTAATACAGTCGAAGAACTGATACTGATAATCAGAGAACCTAGAATTTACCATAATTCTGTTCTACAAGTACCTTAACTACCCTTCTATGTAACTGTAGAAAAAACCCTCCAAAAGCAAGTCTGGCCCTGCCTCAGTGTCGGCTGGGCACACTGTCTCAAGGCAGTACCAACCTTCTGTAATCGTCCCAGCCCCAGAGGACTCGGTAAGGCCATAGCCCTGCCCCACAGGACAGCAAAAACAGATGTTCATGAACCGCTGGGTGGTGGCAGAGAGCGGAGCACCACCACTTAACAGGAGCCGAATATTCCCTCCGATTAAGCTCCGTACTTTCTGGAAAACGAACCTAAAAAAGAAAGCGGAGATTTCCAAAAATTGTAAAGGTAAGTGCAATTTTCCAAATCATTTAAACCAATCCCCCAGTTTTGATGTATGAATTCTGAAATTAAGTGACTGATCCAAGGTCACACCATACTGTGAGATCCTCCAACACCCCCGTGTATGTTATTATTTATCATTTGGTACAATTCTATAGTGTGCCTGCACCAAAGTCTGCCTATCCCTTCATCTGCAGAGGTGCACTTAAGCTGCTTCTATCTTTTTGCTATTATGAATAACACTGCAATGAATATGGGTGTGTTTATATTTATTCATTTGAACACACTTTATTTCTTTAGTGCATGTACCTAAAAGTGGGATTGCTGGATCAGATGGTTATTTCTAGTTGTAGAATTTAAGAACATAATATTATCAAACTTGCTCAAGCAGGCTGTATACATAGTTCAACTAGAGAACTGAAAATAAGAAATAAGGCAGGGCAAAATCGTTATCATGTTCTAGATAATACAAGGCACACCAAAATGGAGTTGCTGCTTTACATTCATATGAAAATAATTTAAAAGCAAAGAGAAATTATTTCTCCCAGTAACTATGTGTTAAAAAAAAGACACAAAGACATACACACACACACACTCTCTCTCTCTCTCTCTCTTAAATAACAAGTGAAGAAACTGAAGGGACAGCAGAAACCCCATTTTTTATAAACCCCCATTAATGCTAGAGGCAGAAGCAGGCCATAAAAATTCTTAGCTTAGGGCAAACACGAGTGCCCCGGGTAAAGCCTTGTGTGTCCTTGAAAAGTAAGGAATTAACTAACTAGTGTCTACGTGACACCAAAGGAGTAAAGGCGGGCAAAGTAGCCAGCCTGTCAAAAGTCAACCCAAATGACTAATTCCCCAGCCCACCAACCAGGATCGCAATCCCCCTTCCCTAACAGGGGCACTCAAATGAGCTATAAAAGCAAGTGGGAGGGGAAACTCGGGGCTTTTTTCCTTCACCACCTTCCTGAGGAGGGAAAAAAGTCTCCACGCATGGAAATAATATAATAAACGCTCTTGAAATTTCAGACATGTTTTTAGATTTGAGGGGCATTCTGTGGGCAGAACAGAAACTGCTTAATACGCCTTCTGACTTTCTGAAATAAAACTATTTCTTATAATAACTTCAATTAACCAGGCTATTAATGGAAGAGAAAGGGAGGCCTTTACTTACCTATCACACAGTGGAGTGCTGTGCCCTTTTGAAATCTGCTCCATTTTATAATTATAGGCCAAAATAAATAGATTGCGCTGAAAACTACTCATTTCATTGACTTTATTCATGACATTTTTGTAGATCCGATCCATGATTTCCTGGACAAAAATGTCTTAATATAGTTAATGATGATATTTGCTGTCTCTCAAATCTTATCAGATTTACATTCTGTATCTCAGTTATTTTAAACAGATCCAGTCTTATCAAGAAAAAAAAATCTTTAAAGTCACAATTGTTGTAAAAATGAGAAAAACTTGTTTTAATAGCAAAAATACATCAAAATACAAACATTAATAAGAAACAATACCTTAGGGAAGAAAAACAATATTACTGATCATTTATAATACTTTGCTCATTTCTTATTCATTATTCAGACATTAAATAAATGATCAAAGATGGTTTTTAAAATATAACAACATTATGACATAAACCTGACTTACGCTATTCCATAAATGGCTGTAAACATTCTGGAATCTATTGTGTCCTGACGCTGCCCCAGGAAACTGTTCTTGTCTGCACTGCAAGTGCTTCTTAGATTTATTAATGTGTACAGTCAAGAATTTTTGTCTTTTATAAATTTTAAGAGGCAAGTAATTTTAAGTTGAAATAAAGATTTGAAAGAGGATACTATTCAGAAAACTATGCCTACAGAAACTCAATGCTGCTGATTAATCCTTTCTACTTGCTTCTGGAATAATTATCTAAGTATTCTTGACTGAGTGCTCCACTGTCTCCTAAAAATCCCTAATATTTTTCAAACAAAATGAAAAGGGCAGAGTAAAAGGAGTCGGAAAACCATGACTGTCCCATTCCTACCAATCCCAACGACCTGTGCTGGATTTGGACACTCAGTTTCCTTAAGTGATTCTAAGTTGGGCCAGCTTCCTGTCGCTGTTTTTGGAGGCCAGGCCAGGCTTTTCCTGAACACTCAGGAGGTAATGTAACACGCTGCTTAGTCCAAGTGGTGAGGGGTTGAAAACCTGCCCTCCCATCTCCTGGTGGCTTCAAGTTTCTACTCAGCGAGCAGATACTATGAATGTAATTTTTAACAAATGGGGGGGGGGGAGCGGCTTAAAAAAAACCCTCATATTAAGATCAAGTAAATCTTGTAGGATTTAAGGCAATATGGATATTCAATAAGGGATAAATCCTACCGAGACTCCCTTGACAGCCTGATCCTTCCCCCTCAAGCACTAACAGCCCACAGCAAACGACACATATTTAGGACCCAGGAGGAACTGCCAGTCTTACCGGAACAGCCGCCATGAGTGTCGGTCTCAACACAGTTGTGTCCCCTTTGCTCCCTTTCTTTATTTTTGAAGACTGTCAAGAGAAAAGCACTCCTAAGTTAATCTTAAAAGTCAACGGACTTCTGAGATCAAAGAGCTTATTATAAATCCATCACTTTAAGTATTTATATTCTAATAAGCACTTATAAGCATGCTTTTTAACACTATAAATACAATTTCATTCAACCATTCCTAGATTTTTTAGAAAAGTAACTACAGTTGGCTAAAATAACTCATTACAATAGCTGATCAATATAATGGATCTTGTCTTTCCCTTCACCCAGCTTATTTAATGTCTGGTTTTCCCCATCCTTGGTAATCACCTAAAGTAAGTATATCCATATGTAAATCTCAAAGAGTGTTATACCCACAAATGAGAGAGAGATGAGTAATCTCCTCGCATGCAATTTGCTGCCTCTGAAAACCTGCTGAAAGGTCAGCTTTGGGTCAAATCTAACTCCACAGCACACAGCAGTCCTTCTGTGACTGTCCTCTGGATGTATCCTGTTGTGCAGTGTTTTGGGAATTCCTGATTGTGTTTTAGTGTTGAATAGTACTCCACTATACCAATGCACCACAGTTTGTCTATTTACACACTGATAAACACTTAGGTGGTTACTTATCTTTACAACTGTGAGTAATTATTGTAAATAGTAATCTGCTATTGTAAAAAATGCTGCAACAAACACAGATGTGTATTTTAAAACAAACAACTGTCACTCTTACAATACAGTGCCAAAAGAGGAAAACAATGTCAACAAATGGTTTTAAGTTTCTCAACAGACATTCGATTTACCTGATCCGCTAACGTCTGTGGTGAGGAGTAGCCAATGCAGCATCCATGAGAAAGACAAACAAGCTCAGCACTTAGTTCCAGAACGTGAGCCAGGGGCAAATACCCGACATACACATCTTCCTCTCTGAAGGAGAAGGAGACAGGACAAGATGTCAGTGCTCAGTGGCGGAGAAAGGAAGGTGCTGTGAGCTCGAGGGGCCACGTGCTAGCCGTGAGCTATGCTAGGTGCCAAGGCGGACAGAAACACCAGCCACACGGCTGCCAGCAAGTCATCTCTGACTCAATGACCCAGCAACAGGCAAATGCACAACCTCCTCCACGGCCAGAGGTGCTACGGAGGCAGACGACCACACGGCACTGCTGCTGGGTTCAGACGGCCGGCTTTTCAGTTACAGCCGCACAAGTGCTTAACCACTGCACCACCATGGTCCATTTCAAATCAGAAGGAATGGGGACTAGGGAAAAAACTAAGGATTCTCAGAACTGACTTTGACAAGCACTGTGCAATTGGACAATTAAAACAGATATTTGGATGGCAGGGAAGAAGAACGAACTGGGGAGGAGGGTAGAGAGAATGGTGCAGCAATGAAGGAATGAAAACCCAAAATCCCTGTGAATGTTCATTAAAACTAATAAAATTTAATAATTAAAAAAAAAAAACAACTAAGGATTCTTCTGAAGGACAGAGGAAATCGTCCAACTCAAGGAGGAAATGTTCTTGGAAGTTAGCAGGTTACTAACCAAAACAGTTTGGGATTTTTTTTATTCTTTAACTTTTTTTATTATTATGAATTTTAATGAAAATTTACAGAGACTTTGGATTTCCATTCATTCATTGTTGCCCTTTTCTCCCTGCTCACCTCCCAACCCCCCAGTTCACTCTTCTCTTTGAAAAGTAAAATTCTTTCCTTGTTTTACAATCCCTCCTCCACTCCACTATGCAGCCTTCGTTCTGGACTCCTGTCATGACAATAATACCTCATCACATATCCCAGCCAAGGATTTTACCTAAGAAATATCTATAGTGAAGAGCTGGATTAAATGAGAATAAACTGTATAGTAGTATACAACAAACTATGTATAGGTCTGTCCCTGTGTGAAGGAGTAACCTAACTCAAGCTTACTGAAACAGCAGCAAGGTTAAGAGGCGGCCGCTGCTCCTGAACCCGGGACGTACCCCAGCCCTGGAATGCGCTCCGCCATCCCAGTAATCCCAGCAATGATGTTGCTGTGAGAGATCATGACGCCCTTTGGAAGTCCCGTGGATCCACTTGTGTACATAATTACTGCGATGTCCGTGGGCAGCGGCTTGCTAAGAGGTTTGTTTTCTACAAGGGAGAAGGAACAAAATACAAAAATAGACTCTCAAGAATTTCAGTCACTTTGGACTTTTTTTCTACTAAAATTTTTATTTTATACTGGTTTTTATTTACAAAGTTCATACATATTGATTTTCACACCTGATTGTTTTCTACCCACCCCTCCCTCCACCCGTGACTTCTGACTTTAAAAAAAAATATTTTTACACTCAATACAACAAATATTAACTGTAGCCATGCCAAAGCAAAAATCAAACCCACTGCTGCCGAGTCAATTCTAACTCACAGGGCCCCTAAAGGACAGAGGAGAACTGCCCCCCAAACACCCAGGCCCACTGAGGAACAGGACGCCAACACTCACCACCACTAGCCTTGGCGCCCAGAGCCTGCACCGCTGCCATGGTGTGGACTATGACGCCCTTGGGGAACTCGGACCAGCTGGGGGGCTTGCCATCGACCGTGATGATGTGTCGCAGACGCGGGACTGAAGAAACGATATCCTGGGGAAACAGAAACAGTCACCCTCTCCCTCACTGCTGTTCACACAGGTTAAACAAACAGTCCACAACAGAAACCTAATTTGCCATATTCAATCAACTTGCTAAATCTATGCCTTAGAAAAAGCAGCCGAGCAAAGTGTACTAGCAAAAACATCACCTTCTCCAAAGGAGGAATACTGGTCTGCACTGACATGACTATTGCCAGGCATTGGACCTCCGACATACCCTTATTCTTTGGTAAAATCCTCATCCACAAAGTCACTTTCTTGTGTAACAGTCAAGTAAACACATGCCTCCTGAACTACATTGCTGCTGCTGTTGTGAGAGGCTGTGGTCTCACAACAGTGTACGGCAGAGGAGCAGAACTGCTCTGCAAGGTTTTGAACCTGTAGTCTGAGGGCAGCCAAAGTTCCTCCCATCCAGTTTGCAGGAGCTGTCCAGAAACTAAAAGCCCTTTCTGCCCTTTAAAAAGTTTCTTTTCCCAGGGGAGCTCTGGTGGCCTAGTGGCAAGAAGCTGCAACTACAATCCCAGAGGCGCACGGTTCGAATCCACCAGATGCTCTGCTGGGGAAGGAGGGACAATCTCCTCCTGTACTAGTCAGATCTGATTTGACGGTACACACATACACACACAAAAATAATAAAATTT